ACGGAGGAACATGATGTGGTTTTTTGCCGAGAAATAATCTTTGTAAACCCATTCAGTGCAAAGAAGAAATCCGTTCAGCGAAGTGCCTTGTGGCAAAGAGTGGCGGATACCCTAAACAGCATTAAAGATCCTGTTTTTTTTTTGTGGATAAACGCTCAGTTCGAGACCATATCGGGGTTTTGGTGCAAAGATTTAAAAGAAAAGAGGCCAAGGAATTGAAGGAATGGGTATAAGCCCTACGAAAACTGAATTAGATGAAGCTGTAGAACAAATTGTTGCCATGGAAGAGTCTGCCGATGAGCAGCACGACCTGGAAGACGGCGAAAAGAGGGACAAGATGGAAGGAGACAGGCTGAAAGCAGAAGGGATGCGCAGAACTGCTATGGAGACATTAGCGAAAACACAGAAGAGAAAGTTCGAGGAGGGGCAGAGCAAAGCGAAAAAAAGCAGAAGAAGTGGTAGCGAAACGTTAGAGTTTCTTAAACTAAAGGCGGAGCAAGACATGGATATTAAGAAGCAAGAATTGGATTTGAGAAAACAGGAGCAAGAGAAGATGGCTATAGCCCAAAATCAGCAAACTTATATGTTCAACCAAATGTTAAAACAACAACAGGAACAGCATAAACAAATGTATGACATGCAATCCTTACTAATGCAGCAGCAGCAGCTGCAAACCACAGCAATGATGAAGATTATTGAAACACTAGTTCCGAAATAAACAAACTCGGTTCTTTTTTAAATTCCTTGCGGTGCTTCAGGTCTCGGTTTACTTTGTTGTTATATAAACTTGAACTAAGTTGGCCTGGACTTCAATCCGGCGAAAGACAATCAGAACTGTAACCGTGTTAGATGTTTAATGACTGGAGTTTGGACTTTATTTCGACGTGTTTAGAAGGTTAAAAATTTACATTTTTCATGACTGGATTTAAATTGATGCTGACAACCATAATAAAGCCAAGTTATTCGTTGTGTTTAATTTTATTTGACATTGATTTACTTTTCTTGGTATCTTCCCATATAAACGTAGAACAGTTTTTAGGTCTTATGTTGGGTGGTTACAAAACAGCATGATTAGGAAAAATAATGCTCTAGAGAAGGTGGATCTAGGTCAAAAAACTGGGATGTTGAATTACCGTAAAAAATGCTTCGGTTATGCTCATAGCTGTAGATCACCTTTCTTCGTTAGCACGCCAAAAATATCAAGTCGTGACCTCCTCTGATTGTTCCCTAGTCTAAGTACGTCGGTCGTGATTCTAAACAAGCTTAAACTGGGCTGTTTTTGCTGTGATTCAAAATAATTTTCCCATAACCGGTAAATTAGCCTAAAGTTACACGCCGAGAAAATGATCAAAGCAATATTATACAATATCTTAGTCTAAAAAAGACACTTGGGGAAACTTCATTCCTTTTTCTTTTTTTCTTCTTTCTTTTTTCTTTATTTCCTCGCAGACAATCATGATAAGTGTAGCTTAGGGAGATATCCACTTTTACAGTTTCTTTCATATTACATAAAAAAGGAATATAAATATGTTTGCAATTTTTCCACAGACCAACAGGTTTGTAATTTATTATTCTTTCTTCTGACAAAGATTTTTTCGCTCTCACCCGTGTCAGCGCATGGAAAATCTTTCATTTTACTTTTTATAGGTGCCGTTACCTTCCTATCAAACAGATAGATTCCATATGATGTCCTGTGTCTATTCAGTAATAAACTTATATGACAAAAAATATATAGTAAAAACAAAAAGGTGGCATGCAGATGAGCCACAGGCGAGTGTGTCAGTGATGTGCGTTCTTGTTGACTAACGTAACTCACTTGTTGTTAAAGGTAACAACTGAAGGAAACAGAAGAGAACTGACGAAACTTCAATTCTTCCTCCTGTAGTGAATTTCGCTTCATTATGAGCGTCAAATATCAAAAATTTTATATTTTACTACAGTCTGCAAAATTTCGAAATTAAGAAATATGAAGGAATTTTTTTGTGTCTTTTAGGTATAGTAGTAAATATGGCTTCATTATGAGCATCAAATATTAAAATGACTATATTTTTACATAAATTCTGCAAAATTTGGAAATTAGGAAATATAAAGGAGGATATTACCATCTTCCCAGCGTGCCTTACGCATATTTCGCGGCGACTGTTTCCGGTCTGTCTGATGAAAACATGAATTTTACCTTAAGTTTCGGAGGAATTTTCGCCACTTCAAGGATGAGATGTGGAGGTAAAGTGGGTAAAGTGGCGTAATTTCTCATCTTTCATTCGGAGAACAGAATGATTTCTTTATTTAATTATCCTGTTTTCAGTAAGATTTGACCTTTCTCTCGTCATGCTTCGCTGCTTATCTGTTGTATGCATGGTGTTTTTGAATTATTCATTTCGGTAATCAAACGAGGAGTCGAGTGAGAATTGAGACAGAAATCCACTCAATTATGCTTTAAACATTCTAATGAACTCGACTCCACACTTTTCCAGAAAATTTCACCTTAAACGAGAGTAGTTCTATCGGTATCTGTTATGATGAGACACACAAGCTCCCGTTGCGCGCTGAGTGCATTTGGTAATATTTTCAACAAGTTTCCAATGAAATAGCATTCATTTACTTTTTCGTATGTCCAGACCGGAGATTACTGTAACTGTAGTTAGTATTTCACGGCAGTAGTGTTGGACCTGTGAAAGACTCGTACATGTCGGTATATTCGCCAGCTCAGTAAGATGTATTGCATGTCGTGTACCGGGTTTCTCGCAGCCACAGGTTCTTTGATACCTTCTGCATTCAGTGCATATTTTACTACAAATTAAGTAGCCAGCGTTTGGGAAGTACTATTAAATATTTGTTTCATCGTGGAACCCCCGCAACAATGGTTTATCTTGTTATATGCAGTCAAACAATCTCGATGAAGAATTTAAACGGTGAGCAAAATCTTAAACCTGGGAAGGGCATCTGCAGCTACCTCTACTGGATTATTTCGTGTGTCTCTCTTGTGCTTTTGTCTTTCCTCCTCCGCGACACTTTGAAATGAGTCTCGCGCTGGAATTCGGCCGTTGATAATATGATTTGACCACAATGCATGACGGGAAGAGGGTAATATCCTCCTTTAAAGCAAAGCACCAAGCTTTTTGAGAAAAATCCATTTTTCAGCATAAAGCAACCAAATCTGGCTATTTAAAAGTAATATCAGGTGAAAAAATCGGCAAAAGGCGATTTTTAGGGGGTTTTTTCAAGGCATTTATCGTGTGTATTAGGTACAGTAGTGAATTTGGCTTCATTATAAGCGTAAAATATCAAAAGTTCTATACTTTTCGGTCTGCAAAATTTGGAAATTAAGAAATATCATGGATTTTATCGTGTATATTAGGTATGGTAATGATTTTAACTTCATTATAAGCGTCAAATATCAAACTTTCTATATTTTACAGCCTGCAAAATTTGGAAATTAAGAAATGTCAAGGTATTTTTTTGTGTCTAGTAGGTATAAATAGTGAATTCCGCTTCATTATAAGCGTCAAATGTCAAATACTTTATATTTTACACTCTGTAAAATTTGGAAATTAACAAATACGGCTGTTTTGGTGCTGTTTTGGTGCTCGGCGCACAAAGCCAAGGAGTTTTTTTAGCTTTTGCACACTGTTCAATCACTTGTTTGTCCGAGGTAATATAAGGTTGCTTGACACCCATACACCAAGTCTGTTTGACAGGATCAGTTCCAACGTTGTTTTATTGATGATAAGATTGCTGTACAGGTGTTCTTTTGCGGATAATGCACTGTTATTTACCCTTGGGCTGATTAAATATGAGCCCAGATGATTCGGACCAACTTACGAGATCATTAAGATCAGATTGCAGGGCATTGTACGAAAACTGGAAAACGGCTTGATTTTTTTAACATCAATAGATAAAGAATTCCAAAGTTTTGGACCAGTGTATCTTGGCGTGATCCACTTTGTCGAAAGTCTTACTCGTGTCGAGATATATAATGCCTATTTGTTTACCGGCTTCAAGTTGACCACCAATGTATTGTACAGAGAGTAGAGAAGAGGAAATTTGAACCTAATCCGGCTTTCGGTAGAAGTAGTCAAGACAACTTGAGCATAAAATTACATTTTACTTAATGCCTTGTACACTGAAGCAAATGCTCTAACAAAATGAAAAATAAGAAAGACCCTCTATTAAAACAAAGAATAAATTAAAACGTCCCACTTCTTTCAACTGATCCAAACTATAAATTGAAGAATGCTCAAGTTATGACATAACTGTATTAAACATCTTAACTATTGCAATGAATTTTACAAAAAAAGTTTTTCTTTAATTTGTTACGTGACCCGGAAATGCTCTATTGTGATCACGACTGAAATAAAGTCAGTATTTGACGATGGTCAATGAAATTCAGTTAGGTTTCTTACTGTAGTTTTCATTCAATTTCCCTTTTCCCATTTTCTTTCGATTTAAGCTACACCTATATCAAGCCGCCACACCTCACACCTCACCTGCCTAAACGAGTAACTGTAACACTATCCCAGGCAGACTGTTTAAATGCGTCTCAAACTAGTTTAAGCGTCAAATTGTATTTTTTTTCTAGAAATTTTTAATAAAGAAAAAATTCCTAAGGGAGCAACGTTGTTAGGCAAAAAATTTATACACAATGCTGAAACACTTTTTTCTTTTTTTGTCAGATGAACGATTATTCAATTCATAAGTCGAAGACTCAAAATGGTCGATCTCAAGGTAAAGGGTAACCTGAATTTTTTTACTTAACACTGATTTAGTCTTTAGCCATACCAGAGGAGGTTTGTACAGCAGTTTGCAAAGATTCAAGGGAGCAATTTCGACCAATCACGATTGGCAAAAATCATCTTGCTGCAGATCGTGAGATGAATATTCCAAGCATAGTTGGCCGCCTCAATAATTTCGTTTTATTCCTCGTTTTCCGTCATCGATTCGTCAAGGAATTCCTCTGCTGGTGTAGCTGGGGCTTCTTGATTCTATTGATGCGAAAATCTTTAAGGTGAGTGGATTTTTAGGGTATATTTTCACTGTGCTTTGCTCGACATTCCAAAATGGCTGGTCATCTTCGGTGTTTTGAGTGATACGATTTGAAGTGGGACTCTTTCGCTTCTCCGTGTCTTGATTGGTCTACTTTTCACAAAACTTTGAAGGAAAAATATTGATCTTCCATTTTGTACGGTCGCCCCTTCTACCCCCCCTCCTCCCCTCGCCCCCATTTCCGTTTTCGAGTAATTTTCCATTTAAAACTTATTATGTGCAGAAGTAAATAATGCGATGTGTGACATTTCAACCACACTTCAGTCGGCCTCACGTGGGAAAACATTCCGGCTCATCATAAATCGTCACTATGAGTCTTATTTGCGTTCTAATATATTCTTCATTTTGGTTTTTGTATTATTGAGTACAGTTTATCGTTTTCTCGCATAGATTAAGCAGTGTGTCATCGCTCAAAGCGGGGTCACGAGCTCTGTTTTGGGAGATTTTATGCATCTGTAGTGTATAAGGCTACGATAATAACATTGACCTAGTGTGCAAGTACACCCTCTTTGTTTTCTTGATATGGGAGCTTTTCATTTTGTTTGCGACGCTGGAGGAAATTCCTAGTCAATTGTTTCTTGTGATCTCTTTTCTTTTTAGATTTACAAGCACAGGACCAAAGAGATACATCCTGAAGAATTGATAACTCATTATTGTTTGATTCAATTGTTTCTGAGATTTGGTAAACACGCTGTGCATATTATTACCTTTTATGAGAAGCATCAAGCAAGAATACAGTTAACACGTGCGACTAAGAACCTGCATATTTCCTAGGTTAGCCTCGCTAAACAGGTTCTTAAATAAATGGTAATTAGCACAAATTTAGGCCCCTGGGTCTCCGAGGATGGGTTCCTATTTCAGAAGAAAAAATAGATTCAAGCTAAGACTATTCAGTGGTATTCAGCTTATCCCTTACATATTTTGCTGTATGATATATAGGCATAGGCAGTGATATGGCAACTGTGTCTCTAAAGAGGATCCCGAATGTTGGCATATCTTATTTGCCCAAGTGCACAGAATTTACTTAAACAGATTTTTAGAAAATAGGAACCTTCTTTTAAATATTAGGCTTAACAGGTTCTTTTTATAGGGGGCTTAACAGGCAAATTTTAGCCTAACACGCTCTCAACAACCAGGTTATTTAGTTGCAGATTTTTACTGTATATCATTCTGTAAGGATATTTATACCACTGCACATTATTTATACCACTACTACACGAAATAAAACCACTACATTGAGTCTTTTAAACTAAAATGCTGCCCTTGAAATATTTTTTTGGGGAATTTACTTAGGGTTTTTTTTTTTTGCCTCAATTATGCAGTAGTCCAGTACGTTCGCCAAAGCTATTATGTATGTACCTAGCATTCATTCAGTTCAATAATACACCTTTATTTGTGATTTCAATCTTCAAAAATCGAAATATAAGCTTACTTAGCTTGTAAATTACAAATAAGCAATCCAAAGAATAAACTCAAGCGGACCATCGATCAATTAAAACTAAGTGATTGAAAGATACTAAATTACATAATCTCAAATCTGTGGGACATTTGTCTTGCCCATTGCACTGCTCACCATCATTCGAATCTCTAATCGGTCAGTTTAATGGGTATTCGCAATTATAACCTTCGCTGTCTGGAGAGGTTAACGCACACAGTTGACACAGCTCGTGTTTTTTGCAAGCCACAAGCTACCCTGCGTAGCTGGCGGTATTGTGTGGGTGCGAGATTAAAGTTTTGGCGGCGGAGCCGTGTTCCAAAAAAAGGGAGTAGGGACGAGGCGCTTGAAATACCGCCTGCCAGAAAACGCCGGTGTTTTGAATAGTCCGCACACCAGTGTGCGGGGAAACGGATTGGTCGAGGGCCATACATATGTCAATCATGTTAGATGAGCCTTCGCATATATTTCCCAATTTAGGGAGCAGATGACAAACTGAAAAAGACGTACATGTAAAGTGATTGTGATTTCCGCTTTAAAAAGAGCATAATTGATGACCAAATTGCCGAAATGGCGTCTTTAAACTTCACAGCGCTGGAACTGTCTTTTAATATTTAGCCGTAAGAAACAAAGGTCAAAGAAAATTAAAACACTATACAACTGCATCTGAGATCAAATCCTATCAGGAACACCTACAGAACAATAAACCACCGGAAATGGTTACTCAGCATGCATGTAACAAACCAGCTTCATGACCTGGTGTTGCAAAAAAAAGATTTACTCAGTCAAAGTTTGGAATGATACATGCACTGTGTAGTGCTAGTAACCTTCGCGCGAGAGCCGAGAACAGGGGGAAGAGACGAGGTCTGGGACCGAGAAACGATGTTCTCACAACTTGCAAAGCGGTCACCCAGCGTAGTGGTCAGCGGATAATTACAGTATTTTTCCCACAGTAAATATTTTAGAAGCAAGAATTGAATCGAACCGGCAGAGGAAATCAGAAATGCTTAAAAATTGAAAAATTATATCATGCAACTTTGTTTTTCTTGCATATAGTATTTGTCTTTCGGTACTGAAATGCGGGGAAACTAAAACGCAATCGTGCTAGATCTTAACCAACAACAACGCGCTCGATGGATCTATTTATAGGTTACATCGTTTTTGCCGGGCAAGGATAACTTGATGCTGATATAAAAAATACTGGAGCAAGTGTCAAATTTCTCGGAAGCAAGTATATTCAAGAAAGCTTTATAAATATGAGCTTACTGCTCCACATATCATAACTGAATAAAATTAACACTTCATAACATTTCACTTCGTTTATTTCGATCAGTCAACTCCTTGAATCCAAAGTTAAAATTCAAAACGATCCTAAAACAAATCAAAACTACTACTGAAAGCTCTGTACCTTGAAGCGACTTTAACTTTCCTTAGGTTTGCAGCAAAACACTGCTCGATAGCTCAACTCTTCGGCGGCCTTTTCTTAGCAGCTATACGGAGCTATTGTAGCTATATGTTGCATATTCCAAACTCTGCAAAGGGAAATTGTTTAACAGAACAAGAAAACCACACACTATGTTTGAAAAGCGACCTAAAATCAATAAATTTGCGAATTACCAAAATATAATAGTGAGAAACAGTCCCGCCTTCGACTGCCATGTTTTTGTTTTTTCTCAAGACCGTTGATCTATGGTTTTTGACGTAATGCGCATGATCAGTACTCAAATCCGCTGGCAAGACCCTTGCCTTACATTTTACTTAATGCCTTGTACACTGAAGCAAATGCTCTAACAAAATGAAAAATAAGAAAGACCCTCTATTAAAACAAAGAATAAATTAAAACGTCCCACTTCTTTCAACTGATCCAAACTATAAATTGAAGAATGCTCAAGTTATGACATAACTGTATTAAACATCTTAACTATTGCAATGAATTTTACAAAAAAAGTTTTTCTTTAATTTGTTACGTGACCCGGAAATGCTCTATTGTGATCACGACTGAAATAAAGTCAGTATTTGACGATGGTCAATGAAATTCAGTTAGGTTTCTTACTGTAGTTTTCATTCAATTTCCCTTTTCCCATTTTCTTTCGATTTAAGCTACACCTAAATCAAGCCGCCACACCTCACACCTCACCTGCCTAAACGAGTAACTGTAACACTATCCCAGGCAGACTGTTTAAATGCGTCTCAAACTAGTTTAAGCGTCAAATTGTATTTTTTTTCTAGAAATTTTTAATAAAGAAAAAATTCCTAAGGGAGCAACGTTGTTAGGCAAAAAATTTATACACAATGCTGAAACACTTTTTTCTTTTTTTGTCAGATGAACGATTATTCAATTCATAAGTCGAAGACTCAAAATGGTCGATCTCAAGGTAAAGGGTAACCTGAATTTTTTTACTTAACACTGATTTAGTCTTTAGCCATACCAGAGGAGGTTTGTACAGCAGTTTGCAAAGATTCAAGGGAGCAATTTCGACCAATCACGATTGGCAAAAATCATCTTGCTGCAGATCGTGAGATGAATATTCCAAGCATAGTTGGCCGCCTCAATAATTTCGTTTTATTCCTCGTTTTCCGTCATCGATTCGTCAAGGAATTCCTCTGCTGGTGTAGCTGGGGCTTCTTGATTCTATTGATGCGAAAATCTTTAAGGTGAGTGGATTTTTAGGGTATATTTTCACTGTGCTTTGCTCGACATTCCAAAATGGCTGGTCATCTTCGGTGTTTTGAGTGATACGATTTGAAGTGGGACTCTTTCGCTTCTCCGTGTCTTGATTGGTCTACTTTTCACAAAACTTTGAAGGAAAAATATTGATCTTCCATTTTGTACGGTCGCCCCCTTCTACCCCCCCCTCCCCTCGCCCCCATTTCCGTTTTCGAGTAATTTTCCATTTAAAACTTATTATGTGCAGAAGTAAATAATGCGATGTGTGACATTTCAACCACACTTCAGTCGGCCTCACGTGGGAAAACATTCCGGCTCATCATAAATCGTCACTATGAGTCTTATTTGCGTTCTAATATATTCTTCATTTTGGTTTTTGTATTATTGAGTACAGTTTATCGTTTTCTCGCATAGATTAAGCAGTGTGTCATCGCTCAAAGCGGGGTCACGAGCTCTGTTTTGGGAGATTTTATGCATCTGTAGTGTATAAGGCTACGATAATAACATTGACCTAGTGTGCAAGTACACCCTCTTTGTTTTCTTGATATGGGAGCTTTTCATTTTGTTTGCGACGCTGGAGGAAATTCTAGTCAATTGTTTCTTGTGATCTCTTTTCTTTTTAGATTTACAAGCACAGGACCAAAGAGATACATCCTGAAGAATTGATAACTCATTATTGTTTGATTCAATTGTTTCTGAGATTTGGTAAACACGCTGTGCATATTATTACCTTTTATGAGAAGCATCAAGCAAGAATACAGTTAACACGTGCGACTAAGAACCTGCATATTTCCTAGGTTAGCCTCGCTAAACAGGTTCTTAAATAAATGGTAATTAGCACAAATTTAGGCCCCTGGGTCTCCGAGGATGGGTTCCTATTTCAGAAGAAAAAATAGATTCAAGCTAAGACTATTCAGTGGTATTCAGCTTATCCCTTACATATTTTGCTGTATGATATATAGGCATAGGCAGTGATATGGCAACTGTGTCTCTAAAGAGGATCCCGAATGTTGGCATATCTTATTTGCCCAAGTGCACAGAATTTACTTAAACAGATTTTAGAAAATAGGAACCTTCTTTTAAATATTAGGCTTAACAGGTTCTTTTATAGAGGGGGCTTAACAGGCAAATTTTAGCCTAACACGCTCTCAACAACCAGGTTATTTAGTTGCAGATTTTTACTGTATATCATTCTGTAAGGATATTTATACCACTGCACATTATTTATACCACTACTACACGAAATAAAACCACTACATTGAGTCTTTTAAACTAAAATGCTGCCCTTGAAATATTTTTTATGGGGAATTTACTTAGGGTTTTTTTTTTGCCTCCAATTATGCAGTAGTCCAGTACGTTCGCCAAAGCTATTATGTATGTACCTAGCATTCATTCAGTTCAATAATACACCTTTATTTGTGATTTCAATCTTCAAAAATCGAAATATAAGCTTACTTAGCTTGTAAATTACAAATAAGCAATCCAAAGAATAAACTCAAGCGGACCATCGATCAATTAAAACTAAGTGATTGAAAGATACTAAATTACATAATCTCAAATCTGTGGGACATTTGTCTTGCCCATTGCACTGCTCACCATCATTCGAATCTCTAATCGGTCAGTTTAATGGGTATTCGCAATTATAACCTTCGCTGTCTGGAGAGGTTAACGCACACAGTTGACACAGCTCGTGTTTTTTGCAAGCCACAAGCTACCCTGCGTAGCTGGCGGTATTGTGTGGGTGCGAGATTAAAGTTTTGGCGGCGGAGCCGTGTTCCAAAAAGGGAGTAGGGACGAGGCGCTTGAAATACCGCCTGCCAGAAAACGCCGGTGTTTTGAATAGTCCGCACACCAGTGTGCGGGGAAACGGATTGGTCGAGGGCCATACATATGTCAATCATGTTAGATGAGCCTTCGCATATATTTCCCAATTTAGGGAGCAGATGACAAACTGAAAAAGACGTACATGTAAAGTGATTGTGATTTCCGCTTTAAAAGAGCATAATTGATGACCAAATTGCCGAAATGGCGTCTTTAAACTTCACAGCGCTGGAACTGTCTTTTAATATTTAGCCGTAAGAAACAAAGGTCAAAGAAAATTAAAACACTATACAACTGCATCTGAGATCAAATCCTATCAGGAACACCTACAGAACAATAAACCACCGGAAATGGTTACTCAGCATGCATGTAACAAACCAGCTTCATGACCTGGTGTTGCAAAAAAAAAATTTTACTCAGTCAAAGTTTGAATGATACATGCACTGTGTAGTGCTAGTAACCTTCGCGCGAGAGCCGAGAACAGGGGGGAAGAGACGAGGTCTGGGACCGAGAAACGATGTTCTCACAACTTGCAAAGCGGTCACCCAGCGTAGTGGTCAGCGGATAATTACAGTATTTTTCCCACAGTAAATATTTTAGAAGCAAGAATTGAATCGAACCGGCAGAGGAAATCAGAAATGCTTAAAAAATTGAAAAAATTATATCATGCAACTTTGTTTTTCTTGCATATAGTATTTGTCTTTCGGTACTGAAATGCGGGGGAAACTAAAACGCAATCGTGCTAGATCTTAACCAACAACAACGCGCTCGATGGATCTATTTATAGGTTACATCGTTTTTGCCGGGCAAGGATAACTTGATGCTGATATAAAAAAATACTGGAGCAAGTGTCAAATTTCTCGGAAGCAAGTATATTCAAGAAAGCTTTATAAATATGAGCTTACTGCTCCACATATCATAACTGAATAAAAATTAACACTTCATAACATTTCACTTCGTTTATTTCGATCAGTCAACTCCTTGAATCCAAAGTTAAAATTCAAAACGATCCTAAAACAAATCAAAACTACTACTGAAAGCTCTGTACCTTGAAGCGACTTTAACTTTCCTTAGGTTTGCAGCAAAACACTGCTCGATAGCTCAACTCTTCGGCGGCCTTTTCTTAGCAGCTATACGGAGCTATTGTAGCTATATGTTGCATATTCCAAACTCTGCAAAGGGAAATTGTTTAACAGAACAAGAAAACCACACACTATGTCTGAAAAGCGACATAAAATCAATAAATTTGCGAATTACCAAAATATAATAGTGATTAACAGTCCCGCCTTCGACTGCCATGTTTTTGTTTTTTCTCAAGACCGTTGATCTATGGTTTTTGACGTAATGCGCATGATCAGTACTCAAATCCGCTGGCAAGACCCTTGCTGATCGCTTTGCAAGTTGTGAGAACATCGTTTGGATTTCATTTAAGAGAATGTATGGGAAGTAGCGTGCACCCCGCTGGCCGAGAAAATAAAAAACCCTCTGTTCAAGCAAACTCACAAGGTCACGTTTCACATTATCACGAGCTTAGGAGTCGTGTTTAGCCTGTCAACGCTTATTTCTAAACTGTCTCGCGCGAAAATAATCGGAAGTATGAAATTGCAGGTTTCTCTTTGACTGGCTGATTTAATTGCGATCAGCTAAGGTGACAAAAGTTGGCGGCATTCGAAAAATCATGGTTCTCTGGCAGGCGGTATTTCTCGCGGCTTCGCCGCTCGTGACGGCTCCGCCGTCAAATCTCACTCGACTATATTACAACGGCTCCGCCGCCGAATCTCACTCGACTACTACACAATACCGCCAGCTACGCAGGCTAGCCACAAGCCCACTAACTTTGGACGACGCCAAATAAAATAAACATGTTTTAAAGGCATCTCAATCACTTAGCCGTGAGAAATTTATAACATCTTTGATAGGACAAACTTTTTGTGCGAAAATATGCGGAATTCTAGCACAATTGAAGCTAAAATCGGCCAAAAAGGCGTGAATCACGGAGATCCGTCTACCTCAACGGTTTCGTTATAACTGAGCTACTTGATAATTCGTCCTATGATCCTTTGCGAACTGCTGTCCAACCTCCTCTGAGCCATACATCATTTTTTGAAATATAACGATTGCGAACGGCACAATCATGCAGATATCATGGAGACCTTTGACACTGACGTCTGGTGACTGTAACACACAGCTCAAAGGAAAATTAAAATGCCACCGACCTGTACTTTAATTTTTTCTGTAGATCTATTTGTTAGTTTTTTGTTTTGTTTTGTTTTGTTTTGTTTAATGCTTGTTGTTTTTTTTTTCAAAGGAAACTGGAGATTTCCTTATTAGGACTGGGGCCTAGATACTTCTTCAATCATTATCCGGGACACTGAATTCCATCCAGTTTCAGCATTGCCCAAGGTTTGGCCATGACACTCTCCTACCCACAATTCCACTCTTACCGTCCCTTGTGGTATGTTTTCACAGTATCCCTCAAATGACCGATGATGCAGCAGTTCAGGGTTCCCATAATGCCAGTTGTTGTAAACAATAGCCTCAATCGTCATTGGTCCGCTGCATTCGTTTCCGTTAAACTTGAAATACCATCGATTACACTTATTATCCCCTATTACCCTCATGATGCCCTGGAATGAGACTTTAAGGGCTGTATTCGACATCAGCTTGTTAAAAGTACAGTTCTAGGGAAAAAATACAAAGACAAACACGAACAGTGATTATTTAGGCTACGACTCTTTTAATGCTAAATAACGTAGGTAATTAATTAATAGAAGCTGAAAAGGGAAATAAAAGCTGAGACGATGACGAGATTGATAGCCGCATTGCTATTAAATTGGTTCTTAATTCAATCCCAGCAAAAGCTTAAACTTCCAACGTTTTAACACCGATTGAGATCAAACACTATACTCACGGCGGTCCGCATAAAGCCGGTTCCTTGTTTACCTTAATCTTTCCGTTTCCAGTGCCGCTGACTGCTTTCCATACACATTGTTTCCAGTTGGTTTGTGGTACTACACTTGCTTGACTTGCTTTGGCGCTTTCTCCTTTCTCTCCTTTGTCTCCTTTTCTCCCTTGATTTCCCACAATGCCTCGCTCTCCTTTCATCCCCACAACCCCCGGTTCACCTTTTGTTCCCTTAATTCCTGGCGTTCCACTCTTCCCGGGATACCCTTCGTGACCTTTGTCTCCTCTTGGACCCGGCATTCCTTGCGATCCCTTATCACCAATTTGTCCCTTATCGCCTTCTCTTCCCTGGGGTCCTTGCGGCCCTGGCACGCCTGGCATTCCAGGCATGCCATTTGATCCTGGAATGCCTGGAAAACCATGACCCAGTAAAGATTTCTAAACATAAAAATTAACAGAGATTAAAGCACTTTCACCTGTTTTAAGAAATAAAGTGAATATCGTCAGTAGGTAGGGAAAGGATTGCAATATGTGAATTCATTAGGGCACAAGTTGCTTGGCAACTATTTGGCAACTTCTCATGTGTCGAGCAACTTTTTCGTTTCGAGCAACTTTTTGCATCCTGAGCAGTTTCTAGTTTTCTAGCAATTCTGAAATATCAGAATGGGGCTTAAATTACTTACATTTTTCACAATGTTTTAGTAGGCAATTTAAGAATTTCCGGTGAAAAAGGAACCAGATCCTTCCCCTGGAGCTATCGTGGGCGCAAGATGCGTGCTGCCTGACTGCTAGGTCAGCGATTTTTAAAAGAAAATTCAAAATGCCGAAAATCAACATCGTGCCTAACGTCTTCTCGCTTTCCATTTCGGTGTCGCAATGGTATTGGCATTTCCCCCGTTTTGGGCATCCCCATTCCCAAAACCTCTCTGATATGGGCATCCCCTGTAACCCTAATCCTAACCCTTACCCAACTCGCTAAGGTAATATGAGAAGGGGATCCCATATCACTAGGGTTTTGGGAGTGGGGATGCCTAGCGGCTTGTACCAGATCTCCTGTCAATGAGTCGACAAGGGATCTGGATACGACATTAGATTCACACTAGTCCACTCGAGTGCCTCAGGTGAAAAAGGGTCCTTTGAGGGAAGCCGCAGAAGCAGTAGCAAGACTGAATACTCCACCGAAAGCGGCAATTTCAATATAATATGTCTAGCCGATTTTTTTGAAAACCAACCTAGCGAAACTGGCAGTCATTTGTGTGAAAAGGCGTCAATAAGCCGGTATCTTAAGCCCGATAAGCTCCAAAATCAAAGTAACAAAGGAGCGCTCTTAGTTTTATAATGGCTGCTTTGGAGATATTTTTTGGCCGAAAAAAACTGTTGGACGCAAAATCTATAGATCCCTGCTTGGTACCTTTGGCGATAACGTTTTCAAAAATCTGGCTAGATAGAGGTGAAACTAAGCGACGCCAAAAGGACAGATTTAACGAACACAGACGTCCAGTCGACAAAACTAACATTAAATCTACTTTTTAACCCACTACTGTTTCTGAAAACTTTCTCTCACACTCTCACCATTATTCTCACACTGACATGCAGTAAATTCCACTAGACAAAATTAATTCTTCATGTCACTCAGTACGTAAGGCGAAGAAGTAACATTTGATAAGTCCATGACTCGTGAACCTAATGGCCTAAACCCGCCGTGACGAATTGTTGTAATCTGTACCCTTATTAGTTTTTCTTTTCCTTTTTTTTAATGCTTTATGCTGTACGTCATTCCTCTTCTCCCTTTTAGGCAATTTTTATTGCGAAATTCTCCGTATGTATACTATTGTAACGCCTACTATCATAAATTCAGTAACATCTGTAAACTTGAAGAAAGCTGATATGGCCAGTCCAAATATTGTTATATGAAAAAAAAAAAAAAAAAAAAAAACAATACACGTTGTTATGATCAGCTTTGCAGTAGTCTTTGGACTTTTCGTGTTTTAATTTCAATTTCAATTTTAACCCTGATTGCTGTTAAATTACATGAAAAATAGTTAGAAGTCTTGACATTGAACAGCAACAACATTTTATTTTTTAAGGAAAATTTTAAGGAAAATTTCAATGAAGGCTATATTTAACTATGAGAGACGACAGTGGTCACAATTTTTGAGGGAAAGATTCCTTCTTGTTACGTTCTTACTCTCGCGTAATTATAGCGAACCTTCAGGATTAAAGAATGCGTAATCCCTTTTTCCGGACTTGATCAACCTTTTTTTACTTACATAAAGCCTAGACAAGTAGGCTTTTTGTCCTCATGACAGAACAGTATTCCAAGATCGAGTTTATCAATGCAAAGAAGATATTGACGAGGTCACAAGAGAAATTTTCGGCCCATTCAGAACGCAGAGAATGCAAAACGACGCTTGACGTAATATTATCTATGCATTGGACGCTTTGGTTCCATTAATTAACAAATTAAGGGTGTTTCACAATTCGTAAGCTCGAGCGCCGTATGTTAAGTGAGGAAACGTTTTTCAGAGCATGGAAAAATGTTGATAACAAGTGATGAATGTTTTTCATGCAATGTTTAACGCAATGCCCGTGGAGGCCAACAATTGTCATCTGAAGCTACACAGCTAATTCTTACCTCGCATAAATCTTTTGTCTGTTGAATGTTTTGCTGTTGGGGTGAGGTGGTTGTTCCAAAAGATTCTCCAGAGATAAAGAAAATCAACAAAACCACAAAACACTGTGCCATTACGAGAAAGTAAAAGTACACTGAGCGTTTATGAGATTCGTGCTTTGTGCTTGTCAAAAGCGAATATCTTAAGTTAATCTTGTGTTTCTGTTTATTTCTTTTTATGGTATTTATATTTAAAGCTATTGATTTTGTCTTAAGCATTTGTTTTTCTTTTCGAAAATACCAATAATTTAATCCAGCAGACCTCAGGCCTCTTTTAAAAAACTTCCGGCCTTTTGAAAGGAGTTCAATAATAAACACGTACAGAACAAACCTAAACTTTAATAAACACATTAATTTTTGTGTCTATGTATCTATCTCAATTTTCATCTTTCAATCACCCGACCGGTGTGATTACCCACCTGCATGCACGTTTTGTTTGTTCGGCTTTTTCACAGAAGTTTGAGAGCTTCTCATTATACGTTCATGTTCATACTTCAAAAGTGCGAGGATGGGAGAGATATTACCATAATTTTCACGTAACTTTGAAACTAGTTGGACAATACTATTTCTTTCTTGATTGTGTTGGTATTGTTTGTTTGTTTGTTTTTGTCATTATTTTTTCTAATTCTAAAAGGACAAAAAGAGTTAGGGTCACTTTATTCTAATTTGCGTGTATCCACTTCTAGGTGGGTGTTGTTAAATCTTCTTTAATGATCATGAGAATTTTGATTTAGCGCCAGCTAAACAAGCCCTTAAGATTGTTTTTTTTTTCTGATCATGATTTTAAGCCAATCAGTATTTCACATTCCTTAAATGCTGATCTTTTTGGCGGTGCTCTTCTGTCAATAAGTTTTAGTAATTGTTAGTAATGGACTTTGCCCAGGGAGAGAAACAGACAAAAATCAAAATTAGCATAGAACTGCCACATGACACAGAAACGAAGCGAAGTGTCTGCTCGAAACAAATTAAACAGTAGTGGTTTGTTCACGAGACACCTCGCCAGTCGCAGAACCGCCCAGTGTGATTGACGCAGGGGGATATGACAAAACGTGCGGCAAATTGCTGTCCATGATATACAAAAGAAAAGGGATATATGTTTGACACAGGCATTAATGTTTCGATTTCAAGACGCGTCATCAGTCGCATAACCGCGTAAGGATCGGTATGTGTAATTTTCCTGTAGACGCTAATGGTATATACAGGAGTGTAGGAGACTGAATGTAGAAGAAATTGAAACATTACGCACCAGTCTATGTAAACCGACACCACCGACCAAACTTAGTGGGGAATTTTCTTGGTATTTTCATGTTTTTGACGGAGGAAAAGGCTAAGGGTATCGGGGACTTTGACGACTTTTGTATGCCATCCAAAATCAGCGAACAGTGGACCGGGGTATTTTCGACCGAGGTGGGCTGGGCAAATTTCACATTGAGGAACAATAGCGGCTTTTAATTTTAAAAAGAAGGCAAGAGCAACAACGCAAAAACAATTTGTGCTGAACGTTAGGCCAATTGCCTTTTAATGAAAGCCTTGCAGATTGAAGAGAATACACTAACAAAAAGGAAAAAATAACAAAAACACTCTTCCACAAGGAAAATAATGACCACTTCTTTCAACTGATCACTGATTAACCACTGCAATGAATATAACAGCGAAGTTCAGGTTTCTTATTATTTACTCTACATTTGGTCAATTTCAAGCCAGTTATTAACTTACTTTAAGCAAACCTCAGTTACTTCAGATTACCATATACGTTCAGCGTTCTCACGTTCAAACATCTTTTTTGGAATGCAAAAGCGGTAAACTAATTAGTCAGAATTTTCCCCTAGTTAAATTTGCCTTCCTTAAGAAGGATTCAGCGCATCTGGTTAAAAACAACACTCTGAAATCAAAGCTTAGCGTGCTTTAAAATCAAAGCCGTGTAACTCTAGACTGCACCGCAAATTTTTTAGCGCTTATAAAATAAATGAATAAATTAAAATAAAGCAAAAGAGATTTGAGAAACAAAATGTAATTATATGTTCTAGAAGAGTTTGAAAAAAAAAAATTCTTATGGAAGCCAAATTCGATGTAATGGAAAAAGATTACTTGAGGAGTTTTCCTCTTTTCTTTTTGTTCTTTTTTTCACTGAAATGATTAAACTTCGACCCCAAATTCATATTTGTTTTGCAGAAAATAGTCGATCTCATCGAAATCGGCTCCTGACGGTAACCTGAAGTTATTGCTGAGCACTGAAAATACTGCATCTATAACTTCTGAAATGTGACGATTAAAAATTAATTACACATGCAGATGGCAATAACATTCGGGTTAGTATTGTGAACCTTACACTACCATGTCGACGACTTTAGTAGTAAGCTAAAACTAACAAATTCGTGCTTTATATTTTTCTATATTTGCTCATTAAGCTTTTCTCAGAAAGAGAGTGCCGTATTAGGACTGGGGCCTGGACACTTCTTCAATTATTACCCGGGACACTGAATTCCACCCAGTGTAAGCATTACCCAAGGTGTTGCCACTACACTGTCCTACCCATAATTCCACTCTAACCGTTCCTTGTGGGATGTTTTCACAGTACCCCTCAAATGACCGATGATGCAGCTGATTAGCATTTCTCCCAGATGACCAGTTGTTGTAAACAACAGCCTCAATCGTCATTGGTCCGCTGCATTCGTTTCCATTGAACTTGAAATACCATCGGCTACACTTATTATCACCATCGACCCTCATGTTTCCCTGGAATGAGACTTTAAGCGCTGTATCCGACTTCAACTTGTTAAAAGCACAGTCCTGGAAAACAAAACAAAAAATAAACGATTAAAATGTCTGCAACTCTAATGTTGCTAAATAGCACAAAAATTAATGCCAACTGGAGAAAGGTTGACTGGGGATGATGGCTGAGGGAATGAGGTTGGGGTCATAGCTGTGCTTTAAAATCTCAAAAAACCTCTTTCCACCTATGATGATCCTTTGTGGTACTTTTAGATAGTTCGTGTTTAGCTTTTAACGCTTTTCTTGTTTACCTTAATCTTTCCGTTATCAGTACCGCTGTCTGATTTCCACACACATTGTTTCCAGTTGGTTTGTGGTACTAAACTTGCTTGACTTGCTTTGGTGCTTTCTCCTTTCTCTCCTTTGTCTCCTTTTTTTCCTTGATTTCCCACAATGCCTTGCTCTCCCTTCATTCCCTCAAGCCCCGATTCACCTTTTGTTCCCATAATTCCTGGCGGTCCGCTCTTCCCGGGAGGCCCCTCGCGCCCTCTGTCTCCTCTTGGACCCTGCAGTCCTTGCGATCCCTTATCACCAATTTGTCCTTTGGAACCTTCTCTTCCCTGGGGCCCCTGCGGCCCAGGCGCGCCCGGCATTCCCGGCATGCCATTTGACCCTGGAATGCCTGGAAAACCATGACTCAGTACAGATTTCTGAAAGTAAAGATGTGTAATTAAAAGAAGAGCCATAGCCTATTACAGCAGTGAACGGAGGTAATGTATTGAGAAAGTATAATTGCAGTCTTAGAGGCAAAGCCATAGGCGCACAGGCCGGGGGAACGGCCCCTTAAAAATGTTGGGCAACTCAGATTTTTTGGGCAGCAAGAGAGATTTGGGCAAAATAAAGTCAGTTTTTTAAAGAAGTTTCTTCATCTTTTTATTATTTCGAAGAGATAGATATTTTCTATTTTAACCTGAAGTCGGCGTGGTAAATCCAGTTCAATTCACAAGAGACAGTGGTTGGCTAGCACGTTTTGAGTTTCTGGTTAGAGTGAAGAAAGTTTCAACAGCGTATGACAGATAGCATCAGCAATGGGTCTAAAAATGAAGAAATGGCTAACCAATTCTCAGTTTTTGCAAGAAGCCAGGGCACTCAGACAAACGCCATCGAGTCGCCCTCAAGCCCTAGTAGGTGAACACTCGCAAAGACAAACGCAGCTGACACCGGAATCACACCACCGTATAGTCTGCGTCACAGACGTAATTCAACCCCCGTTAGTAAGGTCTGCGAAGCAGTGCCGATATCCTTGTTCTGGGTCACCAACGGACTCAACGAATTACCGGTATTGCGTTTCAAATTTCCTTTCATCCTGATTGGTAAATCGACAATGGCTTTTTTAAAAGACCAATCAACGAGAATTTCAGCGCTGCTTCGCAGACGTACTTAACAAGAGTCTAGTTTCGTCTGTAGCGCAGGCTAACCACCATATAAACATTTACTATGCGTCCATCGAGAAGGTGCTGTCAAAGCTTGAGCTCAGGTTTAGCGGAAATGATCAGGAAAATACTCTGTGCTTTGGAAAACATCTGTCACAGCGAAACACCTGATAAAAAAAAGCTTCTCCCGCGTTGCTAAATTTTACAAAATCAACGGCGAGATTCTCGAAGCTGAGGAGAAAATGTGCGCGAGTTTTCGTCGTGTGCGCGGATTAGGCTACATGACTGTTCAGAAATGCTGGAGACAATGCACGAGAATGATGTATTCGATATGTTTCCAGTGTTTTCTAATGTGGTACATATCCTTGGAATGATACCTGCTACATTGTGTTCTGCAAAACGATCATTCAGTACGTTGCGCAGATTGAAAACCTACCTCCGCAGCACCATGGGCAACAATGTGTCAGTAACACCGCACTTATTAACATTGAAAGGGCATATGCCAACTCTGTAGTCAACAATGACATAGATCGTATCATTGATATTTTCAGCAGTCAAAATGGCAAAGACAGCTATTAACCTATTTTATGAGTTCATATAGTAGATTCAGATGTAAGAAAACTTTCACTTCATATGTAGGCCGATGTTGTTGTATCATATGACCCTCATTTCTCTTTGACTGTTTCGTAAAAAAAATGGGCAACTTGCGGGAATTTTTTGGGCAAATAGTTTACCGCTCCCCCTGGCGAAAAATTGCCCGTACGCCTATGGGCAAAGCGGGAATAAAAGCGTACATTTCCAGTTAGTAGTGAAGAACGGCTGGATGTTTTAATCAAAATTCACGAAAACCTATAATAATCCATGTGAAACAGGAAGTTTAATAAATAACCTAGCAGGAATTTTTTATCAAGGATTATGTTAGTAACGGGCTACTTATATATTGATAAAGAAAGCGGTCGAGACAAACGGTTTGGCGAACTTCCAGTTATCCCCCTAGGCAAAATAAAATATATTGATTTTTAAAGAGAGAAGCAAAAAAAAAATAATGATTGTAATCAAGATGATGATGATGATGATGATGATGATGATGATGATGATGATGATGATGATGATGATGATGATGATCACGGCATTGAACATCTTCGGCATAACATGGTGTCATATAATTGCCTGGTTATAGTAGTCCCTCACGGAACTAACCGAATGGTGAAAATTGAAAAAGGAAAAGTCGGGAAAATGCAAGGATTTAAGAAGGAACGTTGCTCGGCTGAGAAATGTAAATGCTTCAGAATCACGTAAAAGTTGGAACTTTGGTTATGGTGACTAGGACTAGGATAATGATTGCTAGGATAATAATAAAATAATAATAATAATGATAATAATGCTGCTGATGATATAATAACCAAATAATAATGATAAAAATAGTAAAAATTAAAAAAAAAAAAAGAAAAAAAGAAACATTAATAGCAATGATATTAATAATTATAACGATAAATCAATCATAAATTTTTAAAACCAAAAAAATCTAAGGATATATTTATTAGATATTTTATAGTGGAAGGAGAAATTCCTTTTTAAAAAACAAAGCTCAGTCTCCCCGCATTTTATTTTGCTTATTGTCTTCATAAACAACGCTAAAAAGAAGAGCTCCTCCGTCAATCGATACCCGTTTATTATTGAGAAGGCTAAGAAATAAATTGTCAAAGACTGGGTAGATCAGAACAATCCGTGAGACCAACCTTTGGGGCAAATTTTGAAACGAAGATTTAACAACAACAACAACGTTGAGGTTTACGTTATCTATCAACTAATAATAAATCGTAAATCTCATAAAAATTATGACGAAGCTGTCATTTTCATTGTGCCAATACAAACTTCGTTGCAGACCATTTTGATGCGATTTTCTTGTCCACCCACTGCCGGAGACCCAAAAATGTCCGCTAAAACAGAATAATTGTTTCATACCTCGCATAAATCTCTTAACTTTGCAGTGTTTTGTTGCTGAGGTGAGGTGGTTGATCCCAGTGAACCGCCAGCAAAAGAGAAAACCAAGAAAACAGCGAAATACTGAAGCATGATTAGAGCTCAACCAGAACACTGCGATTACTGAAAACCAGTGCTACGTGCTCATCACTTAAATAGCAAATATCTGTTTTGTTCCTGTTTTAATGTTGCTGGTTACCTCTTTATTTTATTTCCTTTTATGGTGGAAATATTTGTTTGTTTTCCTTCTCGAACAAGCTTCCCTTTTAAATTGAGTCGTTATATTTTTATATACTATATTTAAATCACCATATCATTTACCCCATATCTTTAACAAACCATATCATTTACCTGTGCACGTTTCATTTGAGTTCGATTTTTCTTTTGCAGTAACCTTTTTTAAACGATCTCATTATACGTTTGCACGTTTGAGAACTTGGACATCGTACTGAAACAAATGCGTAATTTTAGCCAATTGAAGTAACCTTGTTATGTGCACGATATTTGTTGCCTCGTTTTTCTTGATGATGGCCTGTTTTTTTTTTTAGTTCTAACCCCCAAAAAATTTAAGGTTGCAACCTCTTAAAAGCACCTCCTTCCAGGTGGTTGGTTCTTATCATTAAATTACAATTTTCACTCAGTGCCAGCCACGCAAGTTCCAACTGACAAAGTTCATAAGCTATATTCTTTGAAGATTCTGTTGCTAAGCATTTATTATAAGTAATGAAGTCTTAGCAAAGAGAGAAAACGGCTAAATAGCAACAAAGCAGTTAAAATCAAGCGTTATATCAAGGCATAATCATATTTTATCTATGTCGATACAATATAATATGTCTGTGTTGTCTCGCTGCATAGTTGGTCATCCGACTCGTGTCAACCTAACCTCTCTTTCAAGAGGCAATTAATTTCATCGCTCTATTAAAGGAGCGTACAACTGTATACATTCCTGCATTCGCTCCCTCTTGCTTTCATCCTCCCCTCCGTCCCTCTTTGCCATCTTTTGGGAGAACTCCTATGCGATTATGATTTAGTTTTGCAACTGGGCGAATTTCTAGCCCCACCATTGCTGAAAGTAACAAATTGTTTAGTATTATCGCTGTTAATTTAAATGCGTCTTTGTTTGACCGTCAGTTAAACTGCCACTCAGACAAGTGCCCAATTAATGCTATCACTCGAGTGTCATCTCTGTTGTGACTTCAATGAGAACTTCACTGAGAGCTCCCCAAATTCCTGCTAGAGAATCGGCATAAATACTTCCCCTTGATAAGGACGGAACCGTTATTCCGCATCTAGCTAATATCTACTATCACTGCCATGCCCATTTCTTGAATACACATATTTTCAAAGCTTCACGGACATTTCATCTTTGTTTTGGTTAACGCGCACGTAAGCAGAGTTTAGTAATTTAAATACAAGAGCATCAAGACTTTGATAGTGCTGATAGCTGTTGTTTATTCTTGTTTTTACGTGAAGTTTCTCTTTGCTAGCACGCCAAAAATATCAAGTCGTGACCTTCTCATCATGTTTGCCCTGCTCAGTACGTAGGTCGTGTTTCTAAACAAGCTCGAACTTGGCTGTTGTTGCTTTGATTTCAAATACAGAGATAATAAGGACCAGCAAACTGGCCTGTGAGTAAAAGATGCTCGAAGAGTAGCCACGAGCAACTATAATTCTATCTTTGATAGAAGAAACTATACTAATGATAATTTATTTTACACTAAGAAACAGAATTCCAGATTTTTTCCTTTGTCTTTCTTTCTGTACACTTGTAATCTTAGAAAATGAAAAGAATTTCAGCTCGACCAGGAAATTTAACTGTGAGTAGAAATTTGTAAAATATAAGCTCTAGCCAAAGGCTTTTACAGTTTCTCTAGAAAAGGAATACTAATATTGTTTTAATTTTCAAGCTGACCAGCTGCTTTGGTTCTTTTTTTCGTCTATTAAAAATTCGCTCCAAAGAGGCCTTCTTCTTTCTCATTACCATTTAAATACGCGTGAATTTCTTGCACTTTCCTTTTTCATAAAGAAGAAAGTGAATTTAAAGTAAAAATTCCGTGAGTAAAGATTAGATAGCCCGCCATCACACCAAGGCGTCCCTGACAATGTTAGCGCGCTTACTCCTGGATTATTTGTTTACCCTTTTCTACCTTGCCTTTTTTGTTTCTTTGTGTGTTTTTCTTTTGTTTTGTTTTTGTTTTCTTTTTTTTTCTTTTCACCATAAAAATTAAACAACAATGCCTCTTTTAAGGCAACGAGCCAGTTTTTATATAGGGCTCTGGTACCAGTTCAGTTTTGGAATTCTCTCCTACCACTCGGGAGGCCCGGGTTCG